AAAGCCATCTTTGTTTTAAGCTATTTGGTAGTAAAGAAAGATAGCTATGGGTTGGGAGAGCTAGAGGGAGTCTGAAGGCCTTAGTACCTTAACTACCTAGAGGTGAAGTTCAGACTAATTTAAGTCAAGTTGACAGACATAACTGTTAGCCTGGGGGAATACGATCTGTTTGGAAGCACTATTTTGACAAGAAAAAAAACTTCTGTTAAGAGATGGCTTTCAGCACCTGCAAACTTTGTTTAGTTTTGTCAGACAAGACAACAAAGAATGAGACTTTCAGAATTCAGGCTCCGCAGAGTTACCACAAAACCCACCAAATCAGTCTAGGTTAAAAGCAAACGCTGAGTTCTCAAGAAGTTAAACTCTTTCAGGTTTTATAAGCAACAACTCTTGAGACTAAACTGAAATGTTAAAGAAAACACCACCACTCCTGCCCAGAAATTAAATAACTGACCTTACAGACACACCTATTTCAATTAATTGTTCCATTTTTTAAAATTGCCAATTTATTTTTCTACCCAATCCAGTATCCACAATAAACAAGAGGATATAAACAGACTACCATGAACATTTACAGGATGATACATCAAAGAATTACCAAGGACAAAATCCTGCAAAGTAACAAATTGTTGCTTATCCATGTCCACTCAACTGTACAAGGTTTATTTCTAGGACAATTTCCCATTCTCCGTGAAAGAAGTTCTGTGAATTTATACCTTTCATAAGGGTCAAGCAAATATGCTAAGAGTTGATACCATCATATTTTTATATTAACAGCCAAGAACAGCTTTTAAAGAACACTCTTTCAGTCCAATGTTACAGCATCAGTGGGCTCACAGGCAGGATGTGACTTCATCAAAGGAAATGCTTCTCTCTTCTTGGCCTCCCCGAGACCCTTCTCGTAGTACACAGGAGAAGGAGCTCCCCTTGATAACACCCTAGTTCCAACAGATGGTGTGGAGATTATCAACACACAATGGGGAAAAGAAACTGACCCCCTTACCTACTAAATGCAATACAGACCTAGGGGGGCAGTTTCCAGATCTCCAACAGGCAGACATTACGTGGCCTGTATTTAGTACACAGCACATTCTCTTGAGAGAAAACAGGAATGAACATTCTCAGAAACATTCACATTGTAGCTTTACACAAAGTATATAGGAAATGGCAAAAACCTGAACCTAGCTGGACATTTTATACAAGTAAGTCAAAATTCAAAGGAATCATCCTATCTTTATTCTCAGGAATCCCGTGGGTTGAATACCACAGTTCTTCTTTAATGGAAGCAGAAGATTCAGAGTGCTTGTCTCCCAAAATGCCTCAGCGAAGGGCAGCACAGAGAATGGAATATAAAAAGCTTAATAGCGTTAATACATGGAAGACAACAATTCTCAGTCAACCTAGCCACAATTTTCTGTCTTGTCCATCTGTAAGAAATGACCACATTTGATATTCAACTTTCATATTCAAAAAAAGAAATCAATTCAGCTTCAGACACAAAGGAAAAACAAACAACAACAGCAACAACAACAACAACAAATGGCAATAGCCTACATATCTAAACGCTTGACAATCAGGGAACTGTCCCACCACAAAGATACGCCCAAGGCCAGTAGTACCTGTTTATAATTTGGCATGTACTGGTTGAAGGGGCAACAGGGCCTGGAGCTAAAATGTTCACTTTTAAAAATATAATACATCAATGAATCAGACAAAGGTAGACATATATGATACCACATTAAAGATTCATACACAATACTGTGCTGACTGAAAATATCTGGGGACACTAGAAGGAAATGATAAGAGGAAAATAATTACAAAGGAGCATTTCAGTCCAAAGCCAGTCCAGTGAGTATGTACAACTAGGATTTCTGATCTTTAATCTCCAAAGAAGCTGATTAATAAATTATAACATCACTTCATTCACATTTGGGACATACAACATACTTCCAAGAACAGTAATCCTTCTGACGTTTTGGTTTCACTGCTATTTGATGACTAAGTCATTTCTGGCTATAAAGATCTTCCTAATATATTTTAATTAGCCATTTAACACTACAGAGGCTGCTCCCTTTGAGAGACCAGACAAGCTTCACAGAATCTGATCTAATGAAGGTGAATGGTGAGGAAAAAAGGGAACATTCGCTGGTTCTTTTTTTTTTTTTTGCAAATCTTTCTCTCTTGCTTGAAAACCTCTGCAATCACTTAATGTTTTGCTCCAGAAAAAGAAAGCAAAACTAGCTGGGAAAATATCCATACATTAATACTTTGTGTTTACTAGCATGATACAAAATAAATTCATAGATGTCAGTCGATTGTTTCTTTAAGATCAAATGTGAATTTTTAATCTTGTAACTTAAGAACTGAGTTTTTCCACATTCTTTTATAGAGTTAGCATCTGTAAACTGAGACCCTTTTTTGGACAATCATACAAATTTAATTTGTCCCTGGAAACAAAACACAACCTAACAGATTAACAAAATATGTCCTTTAGACAATATTTTTTCTGTGAATTTTGCTGCACTGTTACCATTTTTATCCTTCAGCAAACAAAACTACACTTAAAAAGTTTATGTATTTCGAGTTCACAAACAGCTAAACTCTTAATTAAGAAGACTATGAAGTCAACGTACTCTCATTTCAGAACTGCCTCCCCTCTTTTCAAAAGTAAATTCTAAAAGTTTTTTGGTTATCATTATTAAGTTATATGAGCTAGACATTTCCACTGCCATCAATGCTTCTGTAAAATTGAATAAAGATTTTATTATACCACACACACAAAAAGCAATCGGTACAGAAAAAGCAGTTTTCAGTTATTCTGTTGAGAATTTCTTTCCATGATTTCTCCCATTAAAGTATAGTTTTCAAAGCAACCACCACGACAAAGGAAGCATCTAATTAATCCATTTTCTTCTGATCCAAGAATGCTGAACATTTACTGTCCCATCTGTAGTTGTATCAGCAGTGTAATGAACACAGTTTATATTACTTAACTATTCTTTGAACTCCAAGAACTGTTGAAGTCTTTTCTGATGTTCTGCAGATGCTTGCACAGCACTAAATGAAACATAAATTCAAAGCATAAGCTTTATTTTACATTAAGCATATTAAGTGAACCACAGAGCACAGAGTCAATATTTTTCAAAACAATTAAAAACGAATAGAAATCTTCACTTATTTAGTATTTCTGAAAAAGCTGGATGAAACTCTTTTTAATCTAATGAAGAGGAGGGCTTGCATTCAGTAATGGCATGTTTCTACCTTCTAAAAGACCAAAGCAAATTAAGACTGACAAGTGAAGGCATTAACTTTAACCTGCTCTGCTATGGAACCTGCTGTGCAGAGTTCCAGGCCTTGCAGTAGATATTCTGGATTTTATTATTTTATTTAAACCAGATTCCAACATTATCTTTGAGTTGTGGAGTATCTGAATTGCCTTTAATATAAAATCCTTTAAACTAAAATGTTTGGTTAAAACACAATAGACTCCATTAATCATTTTCAAAGGTAACAGCTTGGTGGTTTAGATTTATTTCTCCCTTTGAACATACGTTATGTTTTGGATGGGAACACTGAGCTCTCCCTCCACCCTCACCATCACGAAAACGTATTACCTTGACAAAATTAGGGTAAATATATACTGAAACTAGTATAATACTTCCTCTTAAACTTTTGGGCAAAAATTGAATATAATGAAAGATTCCAATTTTCTATTTCTTGAATAGGTCACCACTTTTTACAGTGCCAAAACAGTATTACTGTAATAATTTTATTATGAATCTTCTTAAAATGTCTTATGGACATCTTTGCTTTCTTAAACCGTGTACCTATAATTGAACCATTTCAAAGTATACTACTGTGCAAAGATGCCTCTAGGTGCTAGTGAGGCTGTCTTCTCTACTTTACTTAACAGCTCTGGAACTCTCTCCAACACCAAATCTGTGGCTTTCCCATAACACTTCTCTCTGCCAACAGGTAGTGAAGTGTCCCTTACAGTTTACGGTTAGTACTCCTGACTCCAGTAACAATCTCTACTCCTCAAATAAATTTTGATATGGGCCAGGCGTGGTGGCTCACACCTGTAATCCCAACATTTTGGGAGGCTGAGGCAGGTAATTTGCTCACAATCACAGATAGTCAATGATGTAAGCAGACAGAAATCCAGATATTTTAACTCCAGATCTAACATTCTTTCCTCTATACCATTCTGTCCTACTTATACAAAATAGCCTCTACTGACTTTATAAACTATGGTGCATATATAAAATACGGCACTTCTCAGAGAAAACACACTAAGGAGGAATTTCATTTTCACAATTTAATTAATTTTGAGGCAGGTTCTTGCTCTGTTGCCCAGGCTGGAATGCAGTGCCATAATCTTGGCTCACTGCAACTTCCACTTCCCAGATTCAAGTGAGTCTCCTGCGTCGGCCTCTGGAGTAGCTGGGATTATAGTTGCCACACCACACCTGGCTAGTTTTTGTATTTTTAGTAGAGATGGGGCTTCACCATGTTGGTCAGGCTGGTCTTGAACTCCTGACCTGATCCACCTGCCTTTGCCTCACAAAGTGCTGGGATTATAGGCATGAGCCACCGTGCCTGGCCCATTTTCATAGTTTTTAACCAGTCATCTGTATCTCTCTCTCTCTCTCTTTTTTTTTTTGAGACAGTCTTGCTCTATCACCCAGGCTGGAGTGCCACGGCACAATCTCGGCTCACTGCAACCTCTGCCTCCTGGGTGCAAGGGATCCTCATGCCTCAGCCTCTCAAGCAGCTGGGATTACAGGTACACACTACCAGCTATTTTTTGTACTTTTAGTAGAGGCAGGGTTTTGTCATGGTGGCCAGGCTGGTTTCAAACTCCTGACCTCAGGTGATCCACTGCCTCGGCCTCTCAAAGTGCTGGGATGACAGGCATGAGCCACTGTGCCCAGCCTCTATCTCTTTCTTATCTAATAAATTCCTATGCTCCCCTTTTCTTCTTGCCTTTTTCTCCCAGGGAATGTTAGACTCCTGCAATTTATCCAGCCACTGATTACTGACTGGCTAAAGCTGGCAGAAATTTCAAATTATTCTTGCACACAATGTCCCCCCTGCCTGGCCATGACCACCACAGTCAGGCAAGGTCTACAGGTACGTCCTTCTCCTTGCTTTTGTTCTATCATTAATATACTTCATATATATTTCATTCTCTAAATTCAACAGTATTTTCTGATTGTGTCCTACATATTAATTTTATCTTGGAGGCCGTCTAGTGTTGCAGAAAGAAAGACAAAAGATTTTTAAGAGCAAGAAAGACCTAATTTCAGATTTATGTTTAACAGGCACTAGACTGTGCTATTAGGGAAGTTTTAACATCTCTGTGCCTCTGTTTTCATACCTGTACAACTATGACAATTTCTACGTTTCACAGGGTCTTTGAAAAGAGTACATGAAAAATACACCAAGTTCTAAGTGTATTGTCTAGAATAGCACTGTCTGATAAAAGTTTCTAGAATGAAAGAAAGGTTCTATACTTAAGTTGTCCAATACAGTAGCTACTAAACACATGTAGTTATTGAGTACTTCAAACGTGGCTAGGGTGACTGGCAAATTGAATTTTCAACTTTATTTAACTTTAATTTAAATTAGAAGTCTTAAACTATTCATTGATTGCACACAAAAACAGCAGAGCAATCTCGTCTTCTAAAGTTCATTTATAATCATGATAAATATAAATATAGTTTAGTTACTAAGCTAGTATCCCCATCCTGCCTAGCTAGATCATTTCACAAGAGGAAAGCAGTAAACATCAATAAAACTATATATAACAGGCTTGGCATTTGTGGTTTTCTCTCTGGTTCTGTTTCTGAAGGTGTTGTGATCTGTCAGTGTTTTTCCAGCATGAATCACAAAGCACCAGGGATTCATTTCTGGAATACTTCTCTCACCCCAAGTCTTAAGTTTGCTGACCAAGATATAACAATAGAACTAGTTTTAATATGCTTTTCTGGAAAGGGACTCGGGTTTTTTGACCTTTTTTCTCCCTTAAGCATCTTTTGGTGATTTAAAAATATACATAAAATTAAATTTGCTGCATTTATAACTTTCTGTCCTCTTTTGTCCATTTGAAAGAAATCCCCAAAGCTTTATGATGGGCCAAATTTTAAAATACAAATATTAGGTCCACCTCCAAACTGTAAGTTCACAGCAGGAATCATCAGGGTCTCAAAAGAACACTTTCAACCCATGAGCCTTATCATTCCCATACCTGTTTCTAAGGAAAGCTCCCCAGAATGGGTATTATCATGAATCCAAACAGGTAAACTTACTTCAGATGTTCACCAAATGTAGTAGTTATTCTATAGATAGCAGTTTTTAGTGATGCTCTGAATGCAAATCTTAATGTTTTATATGAAGTGTCCACAAGGCTTCCTGAAATCCGGGGTGGTTTACTGGAAGCATGAGGAAGCTTAAAGTACTTGTCGACTGCCTACACCAAGAAAGAAAACACATCAGTTTAGGTTATAAAGAAAGCCAACCTAGGCCAGGTGCTGTGGCTCACATGTGTAATAACACTTTGGGAGGATGAGGTGGGAGGACTGCTTAAGCCCAGGTGTTTCACTGTACTCCAGTCTGGGCAACAGAGACCCTGTCTCAAAAAATAAAAATAAAAAATAAGAAAGCTAATTTAGTCCAAAGAACTAAGATTTGAGGTAGATATATATCGATATATACAGAGAGATAGACACATATCCATAGACATGCTGTAACATATTTCTTATTGTAGATCACAATCAAAATAGTTTCAAAAACAATGCAATAGAGAGGCTCAGCTACTTTGGCAGTTACCAGGCTCCCCCACCCCCAAAATCCAGACTTGCCCTCGAAAACAAAGCTATCATTCAATAGCCTTGAAAATGCAAAGCCTGAAGTGAAACACCAATGTCCTACTCTGCTTATGATGTGTGACAGGCAGGAGGACCTTTATTAAAAGACCTCAGCAAAAAAAAAACAAAACAAACTTTATACTTTACACAAATAGTTATTCACTAAATAGTTTATCTTCTTTTTCAAATCAGATAAGGCATTTATGAGCAATGACAGATGATACTGTTACATCATGAGGTCCCCACGGAAAAATAAAGTGAAAAGATATAATGGTAGAAGCATATTATTTATAGTTATGAACATAACCAAAAGAACTGAAAACAAGTTATTAAAATTATTTTTGCCATCATGTTCTTAGTTTCAAGAGCTCTTTTACTTCATCTGTTCTTTTAAATTTTAGCGTCCTATTTTTGTTTCTAAGATGCAATATCCTTTCTTATTTCTGAGGATTCTGATGATAGCTTTTTTGCTTTTTAGTTTCTTCCAAGCTGACTTTCTCCCTTTGCTTCTTTTATAAGAGACTTTCCTCAGAAATCTAAGAATCCTCGCTCACAAATGCAAGTGGGACCTGCTAAAGAGCTGAGCACCAATTCTGAGTGCATGACTGAGGATTACACACAAGGGGTTTCACAGTGGATCATCTGCAGGGACTTTTAGGGGCGAACCTTCAACTCAGTCACTTTAGGTCTTTCTTTCTGGACTGGCCAGAGTGACCAAAGAAGTCTCCTAGTACCTTGACTATAGGGCCTGGCCCCAGTGTTCCGAAGTCAACTGGAGAACAGAGCTTTTGAACTAACTCAACCCTCTCCTTTGGTACAGCACCCACAACTCTCGCAGTCTGGGTGTTGTACGGTCTCTTAAAGGATAAATAAACCTCAGACTACAGTGGAGTAGGAGCAATTACCCCACAGCACAGGATCTAGGGATCTAACTAATTTTCAAGCAGCTCTCACCCAAACCTCTTTATTTTGGGTACCTGTCTCTTCACCGTTGGTTCTAGAGTTACTTGGTGCTTCTCCCACCACCAATTTGAAATCTGCCTCTGGAATCTGCTAAGTTAGCTGTCTCAACCATCTGCTTTCCAGCTTTCAAAGTTTTGTTGCTATTATGTCCGCTCCTGTTTATAGATTTATATATGTATAAAATATCTCTTCTATAGTTTAGTAGTTTGGGGGAAGGAATAAAATTTGATGCATGTGTTCAGTCTGCCACGATAACTTCAGTGTTATTTTTCACTGAATTTAGTGTTTTTTAACTATTTCACTGAATTTCAACTACTTAAAATAATTTCAAGTATGTCTCAGTCTTGGGAAACACTTTTAAAAGTGATAGTTGAAAAAAATATATGATTGAACTCAAAGTTATTGTGGCAGATTGAACAAAAGCATCAAATCTTGTTCCACAATAATGGAAAATTACATTCTTTTCAATTTTCTTGCAAATGTCTTGATTAACCCTCAGTATACCAGAAAAAATAATCATCCTCATTATCATCTATGAATACTTTATATTTTTTGTAGTCTGAAAACATTTTACTAACAATTTACAGATAACAAGATAATGCAAAATAACTTTATAAAACTTTAGCACAGGCAAGGACTTCATGACTTAAAACACCAAAAGCACTGGCAACAAAAGCCAAAATACACAAATGGGACCTAATTAAACTCCAGAGCTTCTGCACAGCAAAAGAATCAGTCATTAAAGTGAATCAGTAACCAATAGAATGGGAGAAAAAATTTCTGCAATCTACCCATCTGACAAAGGGCTAATACCCAGAATCTACAAAGAACTAAAACAGATTTACAAGAAAAAAACAAACCCATTCAAAAGTGGGTGAAGGATATAAACAGACACTTTACAAAAGAAGACATATATGAGGCCAACAAACATATGAAAAAATGCTCATCATCACTGGTTATTAGAGAAATGCAAATCAAAACTACATTGAGATACCATCTCACGCCAGTTAGAATGGCGATCATTAAAAAATCTGGAGACAACAGATGGTAGAAAGGATGTGGAGAAATAGGAACACTTTTACACTGCTGGTGGGAGTGTAAATTAGTTGAACCATTGTGGAAGACAGTGTGGCGATTCCTCAAGGATCTAGAAATAGAAATTCCATTTGACCCAGCAATCCCATTACTGGATACATATCAAAAGGATTATATATCATTCGATTATAAGGACACATGCACATGAATGCTCATTGTAACACTGTTTACAATGGCAAAGACTTGGAACCAACCCAAATGCCCATCGATGATAGACTGGACAGGGAAAATGTGGCACACATACACCATGGAATACTACACAGCCATAAAAAACGATGAGTCCTTTGTAGGGACATGGATGAACCTGGAAACTATCATTCTCAGCAAAATGACACAAGAACAGAAAATCAAACATCGCATGTTCTCACTCATAGGCAGGTGTTGAACAATGAGAACACGTGGACACAGGGAGAGGAACATCACACACTGGGGTCTGTGGGGGAGATCTAGGGGAGGATAGCAGGGGGTGGGGAGTTGGGAGGGATAACATGGGGAGAAATGTCAGATACAGGTGATGGGGAGGAAGGTAGCAAACCACACTGCCATGTATGTACCTATGCAACAATCTTGCATGTTCTTCACATGTACCCTAAAACACAATTATATACAGATATATTAAAAAAAAACCTTTAGGCTGGGCGCAGTGGCTCAAGCCTGTAATCCCAGCACTTTGGGAGGCTGAGGTGGGGGGATCACGAGGTCAATGATCGAGACCATCCAGGTCAAAATGGTGAAACCCCTTCTCTACTAAAGATACAAAAAATGAGCTGGGCATGGTGGCGCGTGCCTGTAATCCCAGCTGCTCAGGAGGCTGAGGCAGGAGAACTGCCTGAACCCAGGAGGCAGAGGTTGCAGTGATCCGAGATTTCACCATTGCACTCCAGCCTGGGTGACAAGAGCGAAACTCCATCTCAAAAAAAAAACTTTAAATAAGAAGGCCAGGCACAATGGCTCACACCTGTAATTCCAGCACTTTGGGAGGCTGGGACAGGAGGATTGCTTGAAGCCAGGAGTTCTAGACTAGCTTGAGCAACATAGAAAGACTCTGTCACTACAAAAAATTTAAAAATTGGCCCGGCATGGTGGCTCACGCCTGTAATCCAAGCACTTTGGAGGCCAAGGTGGGCAGACCACCTGAGGTCGGGAGTTCAAGACCAGCCTGATCAACATGGTGTAACCCCATCTTTTAAAAAAAATAATAACAATTTTTTTTT